ATGCTGCTCAAGCGGCTGCACGTATACAATCTGCATTTCGGGCACATTCTTTCAGGAAGAGACAACAGAAAGAAGTTGTTGCTTTTGGTGCTGGGGATGAATACTATACTCTCTCAAATGACATTCAGGGTCTTTCAGCTGCGTCTAAGTTAGCGTTCCGTTCAACACGCGATTACAACTCAGCCGCTTTAGCCATTCAGAAGAAATACCGAGGATGGAAAGGGCGGAAGGATTTCCTAACATTCCGCCAGAAAGTAGTGAAGATACAGGTGCTCAGTCTCTTCCACCATTTCTCTACTCCCTCTCAAAGTTCTACGCAATTCATTCAAGTTGCTAGAACTTCAGAAGCAATTAGATTAAAGTAGAAATACTGATCTTATTGAACTTGCACTGGCAGGCTCATGTACGAGGCTACCAGGTTAGAAAGCAATACAAGGTATGCTGGGCTGTGGGAGTTTTAGAGAAGGTAGTACTTAGGTGGCGTAGAAGGGGAGTTGGCCTTCGTGGATTTCGCCATGAGACGGATTCCATTGATGAAACCGAGGATGAAGACATTCTGAAAGTGTTTCGCAAGCAGAAAGTGGATGCAACAATTGACGAGGCTGTCTCAAGGGTTCTGTCAATGGTTGAATCTCCAACTGCACGCCAACAATATCATCGTATTCTTGAAAAATATCGACAGGCTAAGGTATGCAAAGCATCCATTTTCTTATCTTAATTAAGATATATTCCAGCGCTGCATGTCCAATACCAATTTCTTTCTACTCTATTTGGCAGGCCAAGCTTCAAGGTGTGGAAACTGAGGCAACATCTTCTCATGATCCTAGCATCTCGAGCATGGAAAATGATAACATATATCAGTTTGCATAGCTGAAAGTTCTACTCGTACTGACCTTTGTTTGTATAGCAGTACGTGCTCTCTCGTGCTGTATAACATCATTGATCTGCCTTACTGTTGTGTGTATATGGTTTGGATTCAAATGTTAAATGATGATGAATAGTCAAGGGTATGCTATGTTGCTTGTAGTTTATGTAAATGGTTGTAAGTGATAATTAAATAGGTTGCTGGTTTAAGGGTTTTCTTGATTTAGTCAGTATAAATAAGAAAGCCAATCTTACTCCAATCCCTAGTTATATGCTACTTATAAACAATTCTTAATAATGGTTTGCTAAATTTCTATTCTAGGAGCATGTTGAAGTCACTTTGAAAATGTTGTACTAAATTTTAGTTCTAATTTTGCCAACTTAATTAAATTTTACCCCTTGTGCTTATTCTTTATATAGATTGTGTTAATGGTTGACCCATTTTAGAATGACTACAAATCTTTTGAAGGAATTATTAAGTAAATGTTATGTCTATTAGTTTGCCGCTCTTAAAAATAAATGGATGCATATTCTAGCTGTCCTTTATTTTTTTAGGTCATGAGGGGTAAGCCCAGCAAGAACTCCTAGTTGCCTTTTGAAATTACTCTTCTAGGGGCAGGGAGTAGCAAATTTTACTGTGGACCATGGTGCATGAAGTAAGTATCATTTTAATTCTACTTCAGTTTCATTTGACAATATTGGTTTGTTTTTAGTTTTATTTTTCACACACTAGTTTCATTATAGCAATACTAAAGTATCATTTTAATTTTACTACAGTTTCATTTAACAATATACATTATTGCATGAGCTCTATTTTGTAGTTTCATTTTCCATACACAATAGTTTAATTATAGTAATGCTAAAGTATTTGTTGATTTTACAGCTTATGGACAGCCGGTCGGCGGGCCAATACTACCGTAAAATACTAAGTAAAAATTAAGAGAGATAAATGACAGAATACTGATGCTTGTATTGAATTCGGAACCTCTTACAATGTGACCTCAGGAGGGTATTTATACAAGGAATATGACCTTGAAGAAGGCAAGAAAGGAGAATTAACTAAAATAAACTTAAGAAAGCTTCTATGGAATATCTTCCTAATGTGAGAAAAGAAAGTTACTTGGCGTACAAGGAAAGAAACTTCGCTGAATCTGCCTTTAACCGCCTCTGAAGCGCGCGTTCGGTCGGGGACACACCGACTGCCTAGTCTGATCACCCAATCGAGCCGACTGGTGAACCGTCCGAGTGCTGCGTGATCTCCAAACCAACATGGGGCCTTCTTCTTCGCATTGCTAAGTGTCTTTGGCGCCTCTCTTGACTGCCTACAGTGTATCTGGCTGAATGCCCGACTAAGGGGTATCTATCACCAGTCCATCACTTTTCTAAGATCTAGCCGAGTGACGACTTAGAAAAGTAGAAAATCCTCTAAGTGTAAAACTTGAGTACCGACTGGCTCCTTTTCTTGCAAGGCAGCGGGTAGGGGTACGTAGTCAGTCGATTGCATAATGAATTCACCCCTCTGGTCTACCTGATTGGTTCTGCCTTTTCCCGATTAGTTCCGCGATCGGTGTTGTTACTGAGACGTAATAATATCGACAATTACTCTGACAATCATATCGACATGGAAATTACTCTTCTCGGTTGGTCGGCGTGGAGATTCACCCGGTTTCTACGGTGAACCGGATAGGGCGATGCGACACATCACGTGGGATCTCCTACAGCAGCTCAAAGATAGATCATCCCTTCCTTGGGTGGTTGTCGGCGATTTCAACGACATATCATGTTACTCGGAGAAGAGATGCACACATCCCCACCCGACATCGCTCATTGAGGGATTCAATGATGCTTTAAGTGACTGTCAACTTACTGACCTGGGTATGACGGGCGGCAGATTTACGTGGGAGAAGGGACGGGGAACTGAAGCGTGGGTAGATGAATGTCTAGATAGAGCCGTAGCCACAACAGAATGGATGAATCTACATGAGGAGGTAGTAGTTCATAATCTATTTACTATGTCATCCGACCATTGTGCCATTGCGGTCAAAATGGATGCAAGACCTGTTTGAGCGGCTCATCGTTCTTTCAAATTTGAATCGGCTTGGCTTTTGGAGGAGGGTTGTGCTAAGGTCGTGGGTGATGCGTGGTGTTTATCACTGGGCATGGACTTCCAGGCCCGTATTGCTGACTGTGGCGAACGCCTAAGCAAATGGGGCGGGGAACACCACCGCAGGTTAGGCATCCGCATTCAGCAGCTTCAACGCATACTGGATAGATTAAAAGAGGATCGCACCTCCCAAGGTGTAACACAATTTATGGCTGTTGAGAATGAACTGGAGGGTCTACTGCTTTCAGAAGAAATTTTTTGGAAACAAAGATCTAAACAGCTTTGGCTTAAACATGGGGATGCGAATACGAAGTACTTCCACAAGTCCGCTACGGCGCGGCGTAAACGAAACCTCTTAGTGCGATTAAAAGACCCGCATGACGTTTGGCAAGAAGGCGAGGCAATGAATGCAGAAGTCCTGAGGTATTTCAATTATATTTTTTGTTCCAGTACAAGTAGTGCTGACCTCTTTCACTGTGTTCGGGAACGGGTGACAAATGAGATGAACACTTCTCTGATGCAACCGTTCACGATCGCGGAGGTGAAAGCTGCATTTTTTGATATGGCCCCTGAAAAAGCTGCTAGACCAGACGGTATGTCACCGATTTTTTTTCAACATTTCTGGCCGGTGGTAGGACATGATCTGGCTGTGTTTCTGATAAAGTGTGTGGAAACCAAGAATTTCCATGTGGGATTGAACAATTCTAACATCGTGCTAATCCCCAAGAAATCTACCCCGACGAAGGTGTCTGACCTACGTCCGATAGCCCTTTGTAACGTTACTTATAAAGTGTTGGCCAAGATGTTGGCTAATAGATTGAAAGGGAACCTGGAACACATAGTATCTCAATCCCAAAGTGCCTTTGTTCCCGACCGGCTACTAACGGATAATATTTTAGTAGCCGGTGAGATCGGGCATTTCTTGCATAGGAAAACGGGGGGAGTTGTAAGGTGGGCTGCGCTAAAGCTTGATATGGCTAAGGCGTATGACAGGATGGAGTGGTCCTTTTTGGAGGGGATGCTGAGGGCGTTAGGCTTTGAGAGGGGTTGGGTGGACTTATTAATGCTATGTGTCACTTCGGTCAATTATTCTATTCTGGTGAATGGAATGGTCGTGGGACAGGTGTGTCCTACCCGAGGGATTCGGCAAGGGGACCCCTTGTCGCCTTATCTTTTCATCATATGCGCCGAGGGCCTCTCTATCCTTCTGCAACAGGCAGTGATCGGGGGGATATTCATGGTGTGAGGGTGGCCCGTGGAGCTCCAGCCATCACTCACCTGTTTTTTGCTGATGATAGCTTACTTTTTTTTCAGGGCCAACTAACATGAAGCCTCAAAGTTTAAGGATTGCCTTGATCTACTGCATGGCTTCGGGGCAACTTATAAATTTTGATAAATCCAGCGCGATCATTAGCTCTAATACAACAGCTCAAGCGCGGGGATTGGTCTCTGAGCTCTTTGGCGTCCACGAAACTGCGAACCTAGGCCGTTATTTGGGCCTACAATCTGTACTTGGGCGAAACAAAACAGCAGTCTTCAAGTATATTGAGGACAACATCCGGGCGCGGATTGGGTCGTGGCAGCATAGGTTCTTATCCCGAGCAGGAAAAGAGGTCCTGCTGAAGAGTATTGCACAATCACTCCCAATTTTTACCGTGTCGGTCTACTTGCTTCCGTTGCATGTTTGTGACACACTGGAGAAGATGTTCAATTGTTTCTGGTTGGGTGGCGGAGGCACTGGAAGCCGGGGAATTCATTGGTTAAGTTGGGACAAGATGTGCAAACCGAAATCGAAGGTGGACCTGGGCTTCAAGAAATTGCATGTCTTTAACATTGCGTTACTGGCGAAACAAGGGTGGCGATTGTTGACTCAACCCGAATCCTTGGTTAGCCGTATGATGAAGGCGAAGTACTACCTAGCACGGACTTTATGGAGGCACACATAGGGGGAAATCCCAGTTTCATGTGGCGTAGTATATTGGTCGGGAGGAAAGTCTTACAACAGGGCATAGCGCGTCGTCTCGGTAATGGGATGGACACCAAGATTTGGGGCTGGCATTGGCTCGCGGATTCTTCCAACACGCCTTTAATTACGCCCTGTATAGAGGAACTACGCAATGCAACAGTTCACTGTTTACTCGATGGACACGACCGATGGGACGAAGACATTGTACGTGACATTTTCCATGCGGACGATGTCCCTAGAATTATTGCAACCCCGGTGAACAACCGTTTTAACGACTGCTGGAGATGGATAGGCGACATCCGCGGTCGTTACACTGTCCAACACGGCTACCATTTACTAGCAGGCGAGGCGTTACACACTAAAGTTGATAGTAATTTTCAGGCGTGGAAAGCTCTTTGGGCGCTACCAATTCCGCCTAAGGTGAAGAATTTACTTTGGAGATGCGTTCGTGGCGTGCTGCCGGTACGGGACAACTTGCGTTTGAAGAGAATTTGGATTGGAGGGGGATGTCCTATGTGCGGTTATGTGACTGAGACGACAAACCACCTGTTTTGTGACTGCGCCTTTACGAAGGGGGTCTGGGAACTGGACGATGTTCTACAAGGCAAGGATTTTCTCAACTTCATGGATTATGTGATAGGCAGCTCAACGAGGGAGGGTGCAGTGAAGTTGGCGGCAGTCTTCTAGCGGTTTGGCAAGCTCACAATGATGTGGTTTGGCATGACAAAGCCACGTCAGTGTTGGTGACACGAAGACGCATGGTCAATCTTCAAATTGCCTGGCGCGCGGTCTACACCAATCCGGGTAATATAGCGGCAAGGCCGTTATCGAAGGTTCAATGGGTACCACCACCAATGAACACTTTCAAATGGAACAAATTGCACTTTGGTCCTGTGACTATTAGGGTCTTGATAATTTGAGTACATGACTTTCAAATCTCTCAATTTAGTCCTTTAACTATACAATTATTAACAAATTTGGTCGTGCCGGCCAAATTGTCGGTTAATTTTGGCCGAAAAAATATAATTGGGTTCGATTTTTTTTGGTGAGGGTAAAACGATCATTATTGCAAGGGAAAATAAAAAGGGAGAAAATTCCTCCGGAGTCTCTGGTCGTAGCATTCTGAGAATCGTCCGTCTCCCTCTTTCCACCCTGCACGACACCACCTGGAATCCGAATTCAATTCCCGGCCCATGCAAAAAACATTTATTAATATTATCATTAATTTGATGTTATGTATGGAAGTTTAAAATAAAAGTTAACGTAACCTGTTGAGCACAAAAGAAGCCGCCGACGGAGGAGACGGCGAGGGATTTCTCGAAACTTTGGATCCGAATATCGGTGAAGTTGGTGAAAACTTGCGCCTTTTCTTCCCGGGCTATCTCCTCCGCAAACCTCGACAATCTACCTGCACCACTTATATCATTTTCAATTCGCAAAATCAAATCAAGCAAGCTTAATTAAAGTAGGCAGGCATGTATTTTAACTTCAATATATCGAAGTGATTAATTATATTGTATACCTAAGTTGCCGGCTAAGATGGCGATGGTGTAGCCCTTTTATTTTCCCTTGCAATGACCGTTTTACCTTGTCAAAAAAAAAATTTGAACCCAATTACAATTTTCCGGCCAAAATTGGCTGACAATTTAGCTGGCATGACCAAATCTGTTAACAATTTCATAGTTAAAGGACTAAATTGAGAGTTTTGAAAGTCACGTACTCAAATTATCAACACCCTAATAGTCACAGGACCAAAACTGCAATTTGTTCCTTTCAAATGCAATGTTGATGCGGCCATTTTTGGGGATGGAGCTGGCTTTGGCGCTGTTGTCCGCGATCATGAAGGCAGGTTTGTTGCAGCAAAGAACGGGCGATTAGGCAGCGAACGAGACCCGTTTGTGGCTGAGGCCCTTGCGGTCATGGCAGCTCTGACATGGCTGAAGGAGCAAAGTCTTAATAATATTTTTCTCGAGTCCGATTGTTTAAATTTATGCACTGCTTTTAATTCTGTTACTGTTGATTTTTCATATGTTGGTCTGATTGTAAAGCAATGTCAATCAATTGCTAAGGACATTGGGACAGTTAATGTCTCTCATGTCAAGAGATCAGCGAATCGTGTGGCTCATGAGTTAGCTCGGGCGGCCGGTTCTATATCTGGCCCAGAGGTGTGGTCTAGCGTCCCACCCGCTTGTATTTTCGATTTGTTAAGTCTTTAATGGAATGTTTCTGCTTTGTTTCAAAAAGATCATAGATGTAAGTCAAATAGGTTCACGAGTATATAGATATACTTATACAACAACAGTACTTAGCTTATAAGTATGTAGCTCACATGTAAGAGAATTCCATATTCAAGTACTTAGACAATTCATACTCAAAACATATATACTTATTTCTTATTAACAAGAGTACAAGACATGATTCTAGTTGACTTAATAATTCAAAAATAGATAAAGTGACATGTAATCATGTGAACAATCAAATAAAAAAAAAAAAAAAATGAAATATCATAGTATGCATATCATTGGAAATGAAGAGGCATGAAATTATCATTATGTGCTCTCTCAAGAGAACACGGTATCTCATACATATAAACGTACGTATGTACACACACACACACACACACACACACACACACACACACACACACACACACATATATATATATATATATATATATATATATATATATATATATATATATATATATATATATAATAGCAATGGAGGGCCTTCATACTTCCCCTGAATCATAACCATACCATCGATCTCATCATGTCATCAACCTCATCATATCATTACGGTGGGGAGGTAGGAACTTCACCATGTGTGAATGAACCTATCCGGGCTCAGTAACTCTTTACTAGCCTAACAACTCTCGCCTGCATATCTCATAAGTAACATGGAAGGCGGAATCGCTACCTTTAGTGTGCACACCCCCTAACTGGGTTTCCAAGCCCATCGAGTAATAGCTCAAACCCCAAAGTGAACCCAGGATTTTTCTACCAAGCCACTTTAAAACATACCTCCGGGAATTCTCCTTCCGGATCTCATCTCATCACAATATTCCATCATTCTTTTAAAATAATCGAAGTTGAAACGCTACCTCCAAGATGTAAAGGTTTTCTCTCATAGTAGTATATTAAAATATAGCACACAAGTGGCATAATAACATTTAAATGAAAAGGGGTTTCATGTAAAATTATACTAAGTATAAATAGTAGGTTAAGCTTAAGGAAATAGAGAATGAGGGATAGATTGTAACACCCCCGATTTCCATATCAATTTAAACTTAAACATGCAGATAATTCTAACCATAAAAGTATACACAGCGGAAGACTAGATATGGAATATATGGAAAACGTAGAGTGCTATGCCACGCTCACTTAACAGTGAGCGCACAGGCGTAAACATCTGCATCATAATCCAACAACCTCAGAAACCAAGTCAACAACATAACATCTAAGTCTAATCAAAGGCACGCAGGCCCGAAATATCATAAAGAAAAGGGGATCTATTCTAACAGCTTCTAGACCGCGCCCTCATCTAATCGGAACCTGAAAGAAACACACACACACACACACACACACACACACACACACACACATATATATATATATATATATATATATATATATATATATATATATAATATATATATATGTATGTATATATATATATATATATATTTATATATATATATATATATATACATATATATATATATATACATATATATATATATATATATATACATATATATATATATATACATATATATATATATATATATATGTATATATATATATATATATATGTATATATATATATATATGTATATATATATATATATATATATATATATATATATATATATATATATATATATATATATATATATATATATATGTATATATATATATTAGGACGACGCCCGGTCAGCGAATGATGCTGGTAACCCACCAATACATGTGAAATATCATATGTAGATAGTTTATATATACAAAAGTCTTTTGCGAAACGGAATATAGTATATATCACTTTAAAACCAAGATAGAGATCAACACAAGACTCTATGCACTCTCAATAAAGATAAGGGAACACATCCCAATACGTCAAGAAGCAATAACGACTCACAAGAACGGCTCAAGGCATAATCTACCATCACACAGTAGATTAACACCCGACATGCATAACACAAGAGAAATAAGGACTCAACCATTGGTAACACATTGCCTTTGTGACACACACGTCACAAATAGAGAAACACACAACAACGGCTACAAAAGCCTTTGAGACATCACCCATCACGAATTGATATGCCTTCCTTATGCCCGGTTCCAACCTTATGGCTACCCCCAACCTTATAGCTAGTTCCAACCATTACCTCCAGGACCCCTGTACACCAAGTCCAACCTTATTCTCCCGAGGACCGTCGTCCCCTCTCCAACAATCTCCAACAATACCACCGATTTCATAGTACACGAGGGTACCGATCACACACAGCAACACATGCCACTCAAGAAATACGTGAACATTACACACAGGTCACAAACTCCATAATCGCGTCATGGCCACCACGATGACCACTGCCGTACCTTGGTACCTAATGTCACATACCATTAATCGTGCAATCCAGGTACAGCCACACACACCACACCACAACAGGAATCAATCAACGGATCACAACGAAGATATGAAACTATACTCAATCAAGGAAATGGATCACAGTCTAACAACAACGATGATTAACACAAGTCATCATCAACAAATAGAAAAGGACAAACAACACACACGCTAGCATTTAAATACCGAACTAGCATACTAATCAAAGGGGTAAACCAAACATAGTTCCGAAGAACACACAAGACTCATCACGGTTCAACGAATCACAATGTTGAACACTTAGCACGATTCAAGGCACCAAAACCTACATGGAATCCTACCATATAGTTCGAGACATACGAAACATTAAGAAGACGCTCAAATAGTTCCACAAAAGAAAATCAGGAAGTCAAAAGACCAAATACCGAGTCAAAAGAATCACGGGGAACAAATCCCCCAACAACCACATAACGTTCCCCGCGGGTGGGGCCACGAGTGGACCACCACCCGTGGTTCCACCCGCAGGAACCCTTTGTCCCATGAGTGTGTACCCCGCGGGTGGGGCGGCGGGTGGAGCTCTACCCGTCGTTCCGCCCGCGGGTACATACCTGCACAACAAATAATCCCTTCGGGGAGTTTCAACACCAAGCTCAAATTCAAGTCCAAAACATGCCAAAACTCACCAAATACAACAAAATGACTTGAATCAAAGGAATAGCCAAGCAATGGCATACAAGAACCCTAAACACAAGCTCTAGATATGCATTTTCACAAGACAATGCATAAACAATCACATTTTATAGCAAAATCACATGTAGAATCCAATAAATCATCATATAGGTTGACAAAATAGATTTTGTAGAGCATGAGTTACCTCTTGTAGACAAAAACCTTCACTTAACACTTCACCAAGCTCCTAATAGGGTTCACCTTCCACACCCACTTCAAGAACACACCAAAAGATCATAAAGATTCTACCTTTAAGGAAAGACACCTTAAAAAACACTAAAAACACAAGATAAGCATAGATCTTACCCTTCTAGATGCTCAAAGGTAGGAAAGGTGGAATCTTGAAGACAAAATTTTAGGATTTGGCAAAGCTTCAACTTGGCTTGGAGGAAAAACTATCTAACTTTTAGAGAGAAGGAGGAGCTCAAATTTAGGAAGTGTAAGGGGAAAGAATGAGGAGTGTCCTCTAGGTTAGCTTGCAACTCTAACATAGGGTGAAATGTCTTTATTGGCCTTACTAAAATGAAGAGGTGTAAGGGAACAAGAGAACCACTCATAAAGCTTTAGGTACAACATTTGACTTTGGGTTGACTAGTCAATTACTTGTCCCCGACTATTGAATTTTCAGGAATTTAAGGAATTAAATTATCAATTGGATTAGGATTAATTACTTAATTAATCCCTTAATTGAATTTGGATTACGGGGTGTCACATCCTCTCCCCCTTCAAAGAAGCTTCGTCCCCGAAGCTTGGGTACGACGAATTAGAACAAACGGTGAAACGAAACAACAATGTAACAAGAGTGTCAAGATCATCCTTATTTGGTCCAAACTCGAAGGATTCAAAAAGGTATCAAATATAAGCATGAAGTTATGACATTCAAGAGTTGGAAAGAGATAATCAACGGAGATAATGAGCATACCAAACGGTCGGCTTGCGAAACGGATGACAAAGCTTAAGAGATGGGTTGCAAACGAGGTTTTAAGCAACAAAGGTGTTCGTCACCAACCAAAGTTAGAAAAAACAAGGGTTTAAAGTAAGGTAGTAAGATTGATAGGCTTGGTCACAACGAAGTTCAACACCAAAACCGTCGGTTAACAAAACGAGAGACAAAACTTAGAGATAGGTTGAGGGTTCACAAAGGTAAGACAAGAAAGAAAGATAAGGCGATAGATAAAAGATTTACCAGAAATGAAAGCTAACTTCACACCGAGCCTAACTCCTGCTCAAAACTAGCCAAAGATCTACTCAAAATGATACGGCTCACCTAAGGAACAAGCCACAAACAGAAACTGACACCACAAGAACCCTAAACTAGATCACTCGGGATCACAGAACCAGGGTTGCATCTTCAACTGATCTTTGCCGACTTCTTCAACCAAAGGAAACAAGGTACCCCCACTACTTAACTTGAGCTCGGCATCTGCGTGAACTTGATCCGTCACTTCCGACAAAGGCTTCAACTGCTAGATCCAAAACACGAGTTGGATGTCCTTCTCTCCAGCTCTAGGGTGAACTCGATGAAGGCTATCGACTTAACACTTGCATTAGCACAGCACTTCCAACTCTCTACAAAGCAACGCTTTGAAACTTCAAAACTTCCGGTCCGGATGAAAAGGTTCGAAACAGGAACGGTAACAAAGGAGAAAGGTAACTCAGGGGTAGAAGGCTCACAAGAAGATATGCGGTTCAACGTAAAGGATTAGAGCGAAAGGTTTGGGTTCAGAAACTCAAGGACCACGTTACTTGGGAGTAGGATCAAAGTCATCAAAGTTGCAACTTAGGAAATAAGGCTGCCCCTTGCACAGAATCGTTAGAAGCGGGGAATACAAGAACAAGGTTCGATTCAAAGGGAAAGATCAAGGTGAGAGTTTAGGTTCAACAA